TGGGGTGGCCCCGCTGCTCCGGCTGCCGGACCCGCAGGCTGCAGAGGGGCCGTGCGGATGGGAGAACAAACCGTGAGCTTGGAGGCTTTGAGGCCAGGTCCCCCACACACAGTAGCGACAGAGGCACGTGGCTCTGACTCCCTGCCCCAGATAGTAGTCCGCCCTCCTGTGGGGCGTCAGGGCAAAGCCTTCTTGGGCTAAGGTGACTACTCATTTTCCTTTCAAGTATTGTTTACAGATTGGTAATCTGAGGCTCGGAGCGCTTAAGGGGAGGAGAGCGGGGTCACTCACGTGCTGAGGGCGTGGCTGCTCCATTGGAGCCTTCAATCTTCTCACTGTGGCACAGGGGAAAAGAGGGCCATCAGAGGGTCCAGGCTGGCCCCGGGCAGTCAAAGCTGGGTAGACCTAACCATACTCTCCAGGCCCCTGATCTCAGGATGGAGCCCAGAGAAAGGAAGGGACTCACACCCAGAGTCACACGGAGAGACACTGGCAGAGCTGAGCCCGGGGCCCCTGCTGCCCACGCTCCCTCCCTCTTGCCCCAGCCGGGGGCCCTGCCTGGTGCTGGGAGCAGCCTCACCTGGGGGTCTCGGGCTCCGAGCCTCGCAGCAGGGCGCTCTGCACCAGGCCTGTGAGGCTGGCAATCTGCTTCTCCATGGCCTCCATGCGCTCCCTGGGGAGGACGGTGGCTTTGAGCAAACCCTTGTTCAGGCATGGGGTCCCTTCTGACCATTGCTAAGATTAATAATTAGAGGAAATACCATTCCCTCCAGCCACCAGCACACAAACAATTCCAAGGGCCCCAACACCTAAGGATCAAGCCCCCTCACCCCCATATAACACTGGTAAGCCCATCTCCATCCGACAGTCACCCCCTCCCTCCACAGTCTCATCTCTCACCACTGGCTCCCTAATGGGCCCCACCCTTGCCTCTCAGTGCCTCCACGCGTTCTCCCTTTGCCTGGAATGTCCTCCTCAAAGCCATCCCAGAGCCCCCAGCAGCCTTGAGGAATCCCTGTACACCCTCCCACGGGAAGTGCACGCCTTTTTTTTAATGCGTCTCCCCCACTAAACAGGGCAGAACCGGGTTTGCCCAACTTGGCATTGACAGTGTCCAGTGCACTGCCTGGCACACAGGCCACAAGAGAGCTGTGTGAATGCAAATCACTTCTCACCTCCCAGCAGCACTGCCCAGGGGCAGCGGGGGACAGTCAGTGCCCCGTCAGCTCCTCCAGCCCTGCATCCTTAGGAAGGAGCTGAGTGATGAGCACGAGTTCCCCGCATCGGAGGCCACCTCACTGAATGGACCTCCTCCCCACCCCCACTTCTAACCAGCACCCCCTCCCTGTGAACTTCAGCAGGCCCCGTGCTGGACAGCTCCCGGCTGCAGAGTCTGGGCAAGAAAGGCTCTAAAGATGAGAGCTGATGCACCTCGATTTGGGGTTAGGAAAACCGGCTGGGGGACGAATGCAAGCCCAGGTCTCCAGAGTCCTTAGGGCCCCGTGTCCACCCCTCAGTGCTTATGGACAGAAGGAAAGCGGCCCGTCCGTCTCTCCATTGCCTTCCCTGCCACAAGGTACTCCGGCGACCCCCCTACGACCCCAGGTCTACAGAGGCCTCCAGGGTCTCGGAGTCCAGAGCACCACCCTCCACAGACGCTGCAGTGCCCTCTCCACCACCCCCGCGGCCTGAGACCTCGCCAGCTTCCCTTACCTGGTCTCTGTGTCCTTCGCTGGCACGGGCGGCCCGAACCCAACGAGCGGGCGCTCCCCGGGCCCGGGGAAGAGCTCGGGAGGGGGGACTCCGGCTGTCGAGGAGCCCCCGGCACTGCGGGCCTTGCCTCCCGGGCTCTCCGCGAAGACGGAGGAGGAGCCCGAGTCTTT